GGCAAGCAGCTGGCAACTGGCTATTCCCCCAGGGGCACCCAAAGCTGCATTGGGTCCCTATGGTAACCAGGCCCTGGGTAGCAGGAGACCTTGAGGCCAGGCCTCAGAACTGAGAAGGGGGATCAGAGTCTGTCCCTCCTGGCAGGAAGACCCAAAAAGGACTGTGGTGGCAGCGTACTCTTAAGGAAGGAAGTGGAATAGCTCCCTCCAGGAACTGGCAACCCAATTGGGGGGAGTGAGCAGAACAGGGTACTAGTACCATAGAGAATGGTACTAGTACAATACAAAATCATGATGTAAGTATTGTGAACTCAGTCCTGGCTACATTCCTGGATTCTTACCCAAAAAGGACTGTGGTGGCAGCGTACTCTTAAGGAAGGAAGTGGAATAGCTCCCTCCAGGAACTGGCAACCCAATGGGGGGGGGGAGTGGGCAGAACAGGGTACTAGTACCATAGAGAATGGTACTAATACAATACAAAATCTTGATGTAAATATTGTGAACTCAGTCCTGGCTACATTCTTGGATTGTTTTAGTGGTGTTATCACTTTAAGGTGTCTTAACAGAGCCGTGAAGAAGAAAAATGGGCTAAAAAGCCTTCATTTTTCCAAGCTTTTAGCCAGCACAGTTAAACACAGAAAAAAACTTCAGTGACATGGAAAAAATATGCATGTGAAAAATATGCAAGAATCCAAGGAATGTTAGAGGACAAAGCTTCTCCGGAATAGGAAGCTGTTTCGAAGATCTTTTTCAACTCAGTCTCTCTGTAGATGTTCGTTACCAACCTCTTCGTGGAGCCCTACAGGAATGACAATAATATGGATCAATGGAATCTCTCTCTAATATCTTCCCAAAGACAGTGGATGAAGTTATATGTGTTGGCTACGAGCTTGGGAAAAAACGAAGGCTTTTTAGTACATTTTTTTACATCAAGATTTTGTATTCTACTAGTACCATTCTGTATGGTCTTTGATCACAGACCTATATATATTTACTCATACTTATGGAATGTATTTTATACAATCAATGTTACTTATTTGCAATGTAAAAAGTATAACAAAATGTGTTAAAATTTACAGAACACTGGCTTTTCTTCCGTGAGTTATATATTTTTTTTCTCAACCTCCAGGTGATAGCAACAAAAACACACAGGTTATCGTGACCAAATTACTCATATAAATTTCAAATATATCCATTAGTCTTCAAATACACAGTTCTCATATATACAAGTTAAATCCTCGATAAAGTCATAAGACAAAGTCAGAAGGCACCATATAGGTCTCATTCAAAAATATTGAGGCAGAATGGAGATTCTCAAATAATATCCAATCTTTCCCGGACTTTGAAAGACGATCCTTTTTAAAGTTCTCAGAATGCTCTCAAATTGTGCCTGTCTCGAGTGTTTGGCAACGATGCATCCAAAACTGCAAGCAGTTCAAGGCTTAGCCAGAGGGTATTTTCTTGGTGTGGTACAAGGGATTCCGGGAGTGGGCCCTGGGACTCATCCAGTGCTCCCTTGGGGCTGGGCAGGTCATGTGTTTAGGTAAAGTTCTTTGTTCCATGCCATGATTGGTCTACCATGATCGATCGTCACCTTATGGAGTCTCTGATAAGCTTTTGAGGAAGCCCCCCTCCACCCCTTGCCAGTTTCCTCAGAACCCAGGTTATAAAGCAGTTGCTGGACATGATGATGGAGGCACTGAGCTCCCCCTCACTGGCAGTCTTCAAGCACCGGCTGGATGAACACTTTAGGCCAGGGATGTCAAACATGCGCCCCGGGGGCCGGATCAGGCCCCTGGAGGGCTTCCATCAGGCCCGCAGTGGAACTGGCCACCTCCTGCTTCCACTTCTGCTGCTGCTGCTGCATCGTAGCCTGCTTTGCCAGACTCTCTTAATCACTCAGCCATTTCATGTTTTAACCTGGGTCCTCAACTCAGAACTCTGAGCGTGAGATTTCTGTGGTGAATGTCAATAAATCAAAAGTAGCTTTGCAGCTCAGAGAACTGTTTTAAGTTTAAGTTAAAAAAAACCCTTGTGTTTGTGTCTTTTATAAAGATTATATCTCTGCTACTTGGCATTACATTTTATGACACACATGGCCCGGCCCAACAAGGTCTTATTTATGTCACATCCAGCCCTCATAACAAATGACTTCGACACCCCTGCCTTAGGCTGTTCCTGCATTGAGCAGGGGTTTGGACTAGATGGCCTTTTCCAATTCTATGATTCTATATCCCTCCCACCCCCCTAAATTTTTCTCTCTGCAGTGCTACATGAAGAGCCAAAGACCAGTTGGGATTTTCAAAGCCACTGAACTGGCTTTATTGGAAAAAATGTAGGAAGGATATCACACACACTTACACAAAAAACAAGGATATTTGCAAACAGAAACCAAGACTGGATTGATGTCATAATGCAATCAGATTAGCATTGTCAGCCTCCAGTTGGGTCCCGGAAGTCACCTGAAATTACAACAGATCTCCAGACAGTAGAGATCCATTCTCCGGGAGAAAATGGCCACTTTCAAGAGGGACTCTAAGGCATTAAATCACAATGAGGTCCCTCTCGTTGCCAAACCACACCCTCTCCAGGCTCTACCCCCAACTCTCCAGGACTTTTTCAAACCCCTTCCCAAAAACACACACAAAACAGAAGACTGTGTTCCATTCGCATCTTTGGACATCACTTCAGCAACCTGAGCCACAGAATAGCAGCAGCATGACACCTGAACCAACCAAATTGTCACAAAAGAACGAGTAAGCTTTCAGTCTTTCCAGAACTCTTCAGTAAGCTGGATGCTTCAAATGAAAAGGAGCAGGAGGAAGAAAAAGGTGGTTCAGGACATGATAGGAAAGCCCCAGATCTGCACTTAGTAGCCTCCTTGTGATGGAGACCACCAAAAATCGCAGCCTCCGTTTAATTTGATGGCACTGGATAGAAGGGGGAGGGAAATGGAGATGCCACCTTTGAAAATATTGAAAACAGCAATTCATCAGCTCTGTCCCCTGCACTGATCAGAACTCTTTGTGAGGCAGAGAGCAGAAGAAAAATGCCTTCTCAACATCATCTGTAAATTATTAAAAAGCAGATCCGTGGAGAATTCCTAATGCATCAGTTCCAGTCCGGAAACCAGAGTGGGTGATTTGGAACTCAAAACTCCAAGGAGAAATTCAGACAGGGAAAATATTGGAAGCTTCCTTATATTTAAAAAAAAATATTCAGTAACAATGCTGGGAATTAATTTCTGGTGGTTCAGACTAGCTAAAGCAGGTTTTGTTGTTCAGTCGCACAGTCGAGTCCGACTCTTCGCGACCCCATGGACCAGATCACGCCAGGCCTTCCTGTCTTCCGCCGTCCTCTGAAGTTTGCTCAATTTCATGTTCGTTGCATCGATGACACTGTCTAACCATCTCATCCTTTGCCGTCCCCATCTTCTTTGACCTTCAATCTTTCCCAGCATCAGGGTCTTCTCCAGTGAGTGCTCCCTTCTCATTGGGTGGCCAAAGTATCTGAGCTTCAGTTTCATTATCTGGCCTTCCAGGGAACAGTCAGGGTTGATTTCTTTTAGGATTGACTGATTTGATCTTCTTGCAGTCCAAGGGACTCTCAAGAGTCTTCTCCAGCACCATAGTTTCAAGAGTCTTCTCCAGCACCATAATTCAAAAGAATCCATTCTTCGGCGCTCGGCCTTCCTTATAGTCCAACTCTCGCAGCCATACATGACTACTGGGAAACCAAATTGCTCTTTAGCAGTACTGCGTCTACCCAGCAGAGGGCAGTTGTGCTTGTGCTACAGCAGCAAAGCGTTTTGACCACTATGTGGTTCTGACGTCTCCTAGAGGCTCCTCTTGGTAATGCATCTGGGTTGAGTGTCCAGTTATTATTTACTATTATTAGCGTTCTGCCTTTGAAGACTGGTTGTATCTTTTCTTCAAAGGCAGAATGCTAATAATTAATAATAGTCCTCCTCTGTTAAATAAAAGTTTCAAAAGGGAGGACTCCTTAAAGTCTCTTTATAACATGTGCTCTGTCTTCCTCCTTATAAGGTTGTACAATAGCTTTTGAGATTCTTGGAGATGATAGTTGATATTTTTGATCTCTCTTATATTGTGAATTGTGATTAAGATGATTAATTATATATGTAGAAATTATTGTAAAAATGTTTTTTCAAAAAATATAAAATTATGTATGATATAATCATCTGTGCACAGTACTTGTTGTATGTTGGTAAATTCGGGGGAACAGATCTACAGGATCCAACCCACTGTCTAATCTAGGAGGCCAATTCCTTACGAACTTTGGAACTTTTGGCACGGCAGCCCCAGGACTCGGCCTGTAGGCTAGTTTCTCAGCCAGCACTCGTGGCTGACACAGACCACGTCACTAGCCTCTGAGCATATATACCCTCCACCACAGCTGGCATTTGGGAACAGGAGATTCAGGCCTCTTTTTAACAAATGAACCACTCAGGTGTACATACAATAGACAGCACAGGCATTCCCCTCATTAAGTCGCACTTTTAAAACATTGCTAGGCGTGAGAAGAGGCAGCCACATTCTGGGGGTGACTCTGAACGTCTTCTCTCTTCTGCTTCGACCTGAGCATTCTGTTTCTGTTCCGCTTCCCACCTTGTGCAAAACAAACCCAGGATTCTTTGCTGCTACTCAACAAACGTTTTGTTCCCCGAGCATATGCACTTTTACCCATCACGTTCATTAAACAGCATTATGCGTGTAAAATGATGCACAGTGCTTGTATAAATAGAAGAAGGAAGGGAGGAGGAGAAGGAGGAGAAGAAGAAGAGTTGGTTTTTCTACCTCACTTTTCCCTACCCAAAGGAGTCTCGGAGCGGCTAACAATCTCCTTTCCTTCCTCTCCCACACCCTGTGACGTAGGTGGGGCTGAGAGAGCTCTGAGAGAACTGTGACTGACCCAAGGTCACCCAGCTGGTTGCACGTGGAGAGTAGGGAATCAAACCTGGCTCTCCGGTTTAAAGTCCACAGCTCTTAACCACTACACCAACCTGTACGGTACAGTTTGCCAATCAGAACACAATGAGATACACAGAAGACAGATGAGTCGAGAACATCGGCAGCAAAAAGCCGAGAAACAAAACTGCCGGCCAAAAGATCAACGCATCCCAAAGAGGGACTTCTTCGCTCATCCCTAGAGGGGTGATTTTCACGCTTGTTCGTGTGCCTGGGTGCTTACGCTTTCCCCTGCTTTACGACTACAGGGGGGAGATTGTCGTTTGTGATCAAGCCACTGAATCCCTGGCAAGGACCAGGAGTTAATCTGCAGGCCAGACAAGGCCAGATAAGGACAGCTTCTCAGTAAAGCCAGGACTACCAGGATTTGTACTCAGAACCTCATGGGCCGACTGTGCGCGCTCGGAGACCTCCCCAAGAGCAAAAGAGATGTGCAATGTCAAGCCCTGTGACTGGCGGTCTGAAGATCCGGGACTGTTTTCTTGGAATTGACATAACTGTACAACTGTGGCCTCTGCCCCTCGCCAGGTCAACAGGTCAAGTGTTGTGCGAGAACATCATGACTGGAGGCAATGTCCTCAGTGCTTTCTTTGCCGGGCAGCAGCGTGTGGTGGAAGCCATTGATTTGGCCGCGGACCTGGGGGCCCTTGCTGCGCAAGCTGGCACCCCTGGAGATGAGGTCGGCGTAACCTTCCTTGTGCGAGAAGGCATAACTCGAGCGCCTCCAGTGGCAATCCCTCCGGACATGAGAAGTCAGCTCCACCATGCTCGGCTTCTTCTCCAGGTCCCTGGCTTGAGCGATCTGCCAAAAATCAGCGAGAAAGAGCAGGCGTGTAAGTGGGTCTGTAACGATTCCTTGTTTTAAGAGTGTGTGTTTAAGTGTTTGGTTGAGGTGTGTGTGTGTCTCTTTAAGTGTTTGGTAGAGGTACAGTGATAGCAGAGCAGAGTGACTGAGAGAGATAAATGTGCTGTGATTGGTGGATGACAGAGTGTGGGAGGGTTTTTTGAAGGGGATCTGTGTGAGTGTCAGTTAGTCAGAAAAAGTCAGTTATGAAAGTTAGGCTGCGGTCACACGGAACATTAGCCACGCTAGAGAGACAGAAGACAGGCGGATTTTCTGGGCGCGATCTCACCGGCACATCTGGGAAGCGTAGCGCTCCTGTGGCTCAACTGAGGCTTCCCGCCAAAGACGCGCGGCAAAAAACTAGTACCTCGGAGGTACTAGTTTCCGGAAACCGCGGGGCAAGGGCGGGCGTCTGATCGCGTTTCCGGTGGCATCCGGCGTCCGCCCATGTCCCCTTGCAAAAAAGGGGTTTTTTTTGTCCAAGTCTCCGTGAATGCACAGAAGCACCCAACGGAGCATGCACATTTTTGGTGTACACGAAGAAAAAAAAAACCAGTTTGCCGCATCGGGCCACTTCTTTGTTGCGGGCAGGATTGTCCTGTGATCAGCACCTCTCCCTACCCACGGGACCTCCACGGGACCTCCACGGGAGGTCTGATCGCTTAACCGCGGGTTAGTTTGCCCCG